AGGGGAATGCCTAAGGCTGAATATAAATTAATTCAAATGAACTATAGATTTAGTCTGTCTGTCTCTCTCGCATGCATGCAAATTTGCTCTTTAGAATTAGAAAGGCATGACTGCAAGAAACAATGGTCTTGTGCTATAAATTAACAGGAGTCTTCAAGCTTGTAACACTCAATATTTAGAGGTGTTTAAAGGGCTCCCTGCAAAAAAGAATTCAGCTGGGTTTGTGTCAAGTTGCTGTTTGGGTGAATAAGAGACTTAATGAGTGTACTTTGTTTTTCCCTATGAAGAGAGACAGGTACACCAAGTCTAGGTGTTTTATTTTATTTTTTTGAAGCAGTTCTTAATTTTCTTGGTCCTTTGGATTTTTAACAACTGTTTTTTCTTAAGTGTTTCTTAGGTGTTTATATCAAGCAGGTGTTAATGAAAACACAGCTGAGAAGGAAAGGGACTCTGGTTTTGGTTCTTCAACACAATCTACTTTTATTTGTCACTAGTTGATTACTTGTTTTCTCATTCTTTACTAGTACTACTAATCCTGTGTCATTGATAGGGGGAAAAGTGCATGTGAGGGAGACCAGAGAGAACTGGAGAGAACAAATAACACTCCCATCTATTAAGCCTACCTTTATACATTCATCAAGAATTATAAACACAAGCCCATTTTTAAGTGGCAATATGCCATTAAATTTTGAGCTAGGCACTCCTAAAATGAAGCCTGCCTCTTTTGTCCACTAACCAAACATTGGATAAAAGAAATCTGCAGCTTTGAAAGATACTTCACTGTACTGAAAAAAGATTAAATCCGAAGCTGAACAGTAGAGTCATTGAAGGAGAAAGCATGAGCATGAAGGTACAGTGGCATTAGTAACGACAGGTTTTATCAGGTACAGAATGAGATCTGATGGAAAGAAACTTGGATAAGGAGTGGAAGGGTCAGCATCCCTTCTCCTGTTCTGCCTATGCTAAGTGCTGTTTCTAAATCCTCTCAGGCAGATACCTACCCAGCCTCTTGTAAATCTTCAGTGAAGGAGAATTCCACAGTTTCTTAGGGAAGTGTTTCCCATTGTCATGCTGTTACAATTAGGAAAGGAGTCCTCTGTGGTTCAGTGATAGAATCCTTGTCTACCACACAGGAGTCCTGGGTTTGATTTCCAGGCACTTGTATAACTATAGCTGTGGAGGCACCAAACATCTGGACTCAGTCTAGTCTTTGGATTCTGTCTCAGTGGCCTAAAGGGAGGATGGAAGGTCTGGGCAGCCTTCGCTCCTCCAAAAATTCCTGCTCAGACATATGTATCGAAGGTCTGGGTGGCCCTCATGCATACACCATGATCCAGTGGGATTGGCAATTGCCACAGTTAGGAAGCTGGTTTTTTTTCCCTGCCTTCCCACCCCACTTTCCTTGAGACTTAATCTAAATCTGCCTTTGGTGTTGTTTAAACCAGCCAATTTTTATTGTCCTTCATGAAGTTTCAAGAGAATTCCAAGTGAAAATTCTAGCATAAAAGGCAAATAAATGGCTGGTTTTGCACACTACAAATGGGGTGTGATATTACTAAAAGAACAATGGGAGAAGCCCTGGGCACTGCACACAGGCTGTTTACCCTACTCCAGTGCCACACTAAAACCAGAACTAGAAGTGGTATTGCTTACAGCTGGTTCCAGCAGCCCATAGTTCAGCTGGGACTGTCTTCAGGATTTTGCTTCCTGAAAATTGGTTGCTTTTAATGGTCGGTGTAAGTTACCCCCATCGCTCCTCTATTGGCCCAAAGTAGCTTGTATTTACAAATTTTATATATAATATATAATATTTGATTGAGCCAGCTGTTGGGCTACTCTGCAGATTGTGTAGCCTACTTTCTTTTTTTAAAAGAGTCTCAGTTCACTTTAATTCTATAATCATTACATTTTACACAGATGTTTATAAGAGTATTGAAAGCTAATATCCTGAAGGGAACATTTCTGTCCTTCAAACACCATTTAGCCCATTATCATCATCCTTTTTTAGCAAGCTTTTATGATGATGAAACGATCATAGAGATGCAGTGTACAATGCCCTGAATAGAATGAGTTTTTAGATGTGAATTTTTCTTCTCCACTGTGTCCCCAGTATGATTGTAAGTAGTGTACTTCATCTTTACAGATGTGAAGTAGATGGTGTTGCAGATGCTTGTAACCATGGAAACGTACTTATGCTGAGGAAGAAGTAGATTCCAGGTCTTACGAAGTCTGGTTCCCCTTCAACCCTCTTCTAAGGGCTTGTCTACAGTCCAGATGAGAGGTGTTATGGAACACATGTGTGCCTATTTACACACTAACTTTTGATATAGATTACTCAGTAGCAATGCAGGCACAGCAGCACAGATTTCACTCAAGTCTAGCAACCAAATTATATACCCAGGTTCCCCGGTAGTCAGGCATAACCTGTATTGAAATATGTGCAAACTCCATCTTACCTGCTGTTGTTTAGTTAGGGTAGGTATTCCTTACCATGCTGCAGTTGCACCTCCAGTCCAATGTGGGCATGCTATACTTTGGCGGGAGAAAGCATATTGCGTGCATCATCATGTTATCCATCCAGAAACACTGCCCCTGTCTCTTGAGTTAAAATGTATGCATTTAGTGCAGAATGCTGTTTCACCTTACTGAAGTGATCCTCAAACTTTTGGCCCAGCAAGCCAAATGAGTGACATGGAGAGGACTGAACAGCTGGATAGACTCCTGCATAGCCCTGGGGCCTGTGCCACCCTGCCTGGTTCCATGTGCTGGGATGGGGCACAGCATGCCAGGAGTGGGTCCTGGTGGCCTCCACCTCCCCTGCTTGGCTCTGCATGTTGTCAGCCCTGCATACCAAGATGAGGCACCTGATCTAGCACACAAGATTGGGGGCTCCCCGTGGCTCCAGAAATTTAACAACAGGGGAGCAGCACCACTGTTTCCTTGCCATCAAATGTTTGAATGTGTGGGAAAGCCCCGGGGTCAGATGATACTGTGCTGCAGGTTGAACATCCCTCCCTTAATGGATAACCAAACTGCAGCTTGAGACCTAGCTAACGCCGTATTACCCAACTGAAGTGCAGGAGTGGTTCTGTTACCCATTCTGGGAGATCAAGTACCACCGCCCCCCTTATAGGACTAGGTTTTCTCATTGGAGACTTGCAGATGTTCCCCTGTTCCTCTAATGGTGGTACAAAATGAGGAGGATATGGTCTTGGATCCACTGTGGGCTTTCAGGTGCGCCTTTGGAATTCTCTCCAGTTATTTTGTCCTGGCTAGTTTATCCATAATTTACTGCTAAATTCTGTTTCAGTATTTTAAAGGAGTTATGGAAAAACTGACTCTCAAATGTGCTAGTCCTTTACAGCAACTGCCGGTTTTTATAACACCGCATATGGTGCTATCATTAAACTTAATTATCTCCGTGTCTCAAGTGGCAATAAGTTTTCAGGTTAGTAGAAACCAAGGTTTGCCTTTTTTTTCAAATCTAACTTTTGTTTATTGTGAAAAATACATTTTGTATTATTGGATAATTCTGAATTTACCATATGTTAATTGTAGTACTGTAACGGGATATTATTATTATAACTTTTAACACAGCATAAACAAATAATTCCAGATAAAACTGTGTTAAACAGCCCTTCAGATTGTGATCTGATCCTAGAGAAAGAGCTTTTATATAAACAAGAAAATCTATTTGGAAAAACAAATCCATGAGCCTACTCCATATGATTAAGGAGTAAATATATGAATACCTTTGTACTGGTTTGGTTCTGTTGATTAGATTATCTGTAGTCAGTCACATTGCATCTAACTAGCTATAGGTTTTGATTGACCCTTGTCAGTACTGAGTAAAATCCAACCAGTGGTAATCTTGCTTCTGCAAAAGTTGTAGAGGAACAAGTGGGAGTTCATGTGGGGAAGGATACCTCAAATCAATTATTATGACAAAGGTTTGAGACTTCCTGTCATTTGGCTGAATGTGTTAAGAATGGCCTAGATTTGAGACTGATCTGGTAGTTAGAGGAACGTGTTCCTTGTTTTGACCCAAGTGGAGCTAGTTTTGGTGAAGGGGGGGAGGGGTTTTTTGGATAAATTTCTTGTTTGGAGACATGGCACAGTTGTCAGAAATTTCTCAGTAGCAGCCACTATACAAAAGGCTTGCAGTGTAACTTCATAATTTTGTGCTTGTACCCTTTGCATACTCTTCTTTGGGGTTTGTGTCTGATCTGGAGCTTTGCCTGAAGGATAAATTTCTTTTTGCTTGTTTGTTTTGGACAGAGAGCAAAATTTGAGGAAAGTGAAGAAGAAAATATCTTGTTGTACTTAAGACAATGTCAACAATAACAAAAACCCATCCTCTTAAAGTGAATCAAAAACCTGCTGTTTAGAATGTGCCACTTGACATGGGGAGCCTCTTCTAGTTCTTGAAGGACGGTGCCCTTGGTCAGGGGTTGGCAACCTGCAGCTCATAATACAAGTGGCATGGGCAGTCTGTGGGTGGCATGTGGCAGATCAGGGAAGGGAAAGGCAGCACAGCAGCAAATAGGACAAGCAGCAAAGTACAGTAGCAGATCAGGCAGGGAGCGCAGGGCCTGTAGCAGAAAGCAGAGCAGCACATTGGGAAGAGGGAAAGGGTTGGAGTAGCACTTGGGGAAGGTGTGGGGCTAATTTGTGGTGTGCCTGCCAAAGCAGTTGGGCCCTGCTGCCCTAGTGTATGGTTGTCATGAGTAAATGCAGCAAGAGAGTAGATGATGTGTAGCAGTTAAGCCTGTATGCACTTGGAGGGCAAGCTTCTTCCATTTCAAATATGTGATGAGAGTGTGCATGTCATGTGTGCACTGAGATTTCAGGAAATGGGATGGAAAATTCCAGCTGAACATTCAAATATTACATTTAGGACAAACTTTCATAGTTTGCTTTACTCTTCCTTAAATAAATAATAAACCCATGTTGTTAGGGGAAGATGATAAAATATTGATTGTATCTAATCTTTCTTCCAGGAATTTATCAAAGAGCTGCTAACTCGGATAAGAGGAATGAGGAAGCTCAGCCCCCCTCAAAAGAAAACTATATAACTACTTGCCATTAGCACTCCACAACAGACAGCAAGGGAAATGGGACTTCGACTACAAGACCCTTATTAAAATAGTTGTCTTTCTCTGCAACGTTTTTTGTTTCATTCAGTTTTGACTCTTATTCAAGGGAGTTCTCATGTATTAAGATTTTTTTTTAGGTCTGTCTTTTTTTTTTTATCAAAGATTCCAACATTTTGGATGCTGGTCAAATATCACATGAGGTTTATCAAAGCAGGAAGAATCCAGGAATTAGTGACCACTTCATGGCAACGAGGTGCCGCAGTCAGAAGAACTTATAAACTTACAGAGCTAGGAGACTTTTTTTTCCTTGCAGCTAGTTGGTAACACTTATTTTTAAAGTTGGTTGTACATTTAACTCATGGATGTCAAGTTTTCTCATGCTTGTATGTACATATACTATTGGGTTGTGAATACTGTTTCACATGACTGGAAGGAACGTTTGTGACAGTAAACTATTAATTGTGGTTATTGCAAATTTGTTATGAAAAAAGCAACAGTATAGATTACTGAAATGAGTGCTACCATCTTCTAAATACATTTTAAAAAAGCAAAGTGAAAAACTTTGGCATATCTTCTTAGTCGGAAACTGACGTGAGAAATGGGGAATTTTTTAAGGGCTTAATTTGTATACTTTGAATAATTTTATTGACTAATTCTTTGCCAGATCATTTCCTCTCCACCTTGTGGTGTTTTTAGAATTGTATTAACCTACTCCAGGGGTCAGCAACTTATGGCCTACGGAGCCTTTTGGATTTGGCCTGCGGAGCTGTGGCTTTGGCAGCCTTCAGTGGTGGTAGATAGAGAGGGCAGGGGGCCTTTGCCTGTGCTGCAGCTGGGCACCCAGGGCTTGAGGGAGCTCTCACTTCGCTGTGCTGCAGTTGGTCTGCAGGGGCTCCATCAGAGGGGAGCTTTCCCTGCACCTACAGCCAGGCAATGGGAAGAAGTGGTGGAGGTGACTGGGTCCCTGTGCCTGCTCAACTCAGACCTGAACTGGGTCATTCGGGCCCCTTCTGGAAAACATTGCTGACTCCTGTCCTGCTTTCTAAGGGCCTGATGTGACATTTAGAGAAATGTACATCACCCTTTGAAAGATGCTTCATAATGGGGAAGCGGGGGGAAGCAAGTGCTACCTAAACAAACTAAAAGCAGCTATCTTGCATTCAGTTATGTGATTTAACCAAACAGATTCCTCTCTTAGTGAAGTAGGTAAAGAACATTTGTTTTATAGCTCTGTTGTTGGTACGTGGGCGGGGTGGGGGGTCTTGTTAGCTTTGAGTCCTCATTATTTGTGAAAGCAAGAAGAAAATTATTTCAAGAGATCATTGTGTCTCTCTTCTGGAAAATGTCTTTAACTAAGATAACTCCATAAGCTACCATATGCCGGTAGATGACAGTAGTCGGGCATTTTTTTTATCAAGGGTGCTCTGAACATATTTTATTTTTAAAAGAAGTACATGTTTGTGAATTTTATGTATACTGGCAAGCTTTTTTTAAATGTATTTAATTTTGTAATGTTTATCAACAATTTTATTTACCAGATATTTACCCAAATAAATGGAACAACTTGTGACTTGTTGCTATTACATTTTACAAAACTACTGTTGCTGAATATACTGACAAGTGATGTGGATGCATAAACAGCAAAGGAATGGATTGGTGAATATCCATCAATCCAGCATAAGCTAGCCATAACGCACTAGCTTTCAAAAAGATGGCATTACAAAGACAATTGTGAACAGTTCTCTTGTTACCATGAGAGCTTTTTCCAGTGCAAAGAAGGACAAACTATTCCTCATCCCTCCTTTTAAAGTTTGAATGTTTCTTTCAGGAAAGCTTTCTGGTGCTTTCTCCTTAAAAATATTAGGAACATAAAGCTTATTTTTCCTGTTGTGCTCTAAGATAACCTAAGGATTGGAGTAGAGAAACCTCATAGTAACTGAAGGAATGCCAGTACTGATTTTTTTTTTTTTTTTTTTTTT